ACACGACCTTTCAACTTCAGTGAAACGTCGCGTCTACACCAAAGGTGTTTCATTCCTGCGTATGCTGCTCGAGGCTTGGAAGTGCGGGCGGTTATCTCCTTTGCTGCACTACCGTTATTGGTCACGTAACTACCTAAGTAGGAAGAGTAATCCACCACAACTAAGTCCTGTCCATTTAGTGTCACAGTGGGAGTGGACGAAACCCAGTCCTGCCGCACCATTTTGCACTTTGTATGTGCAAAGCATATACCGAATGTGGCTACTGTACTTGTTAATCTATCAAGTGCACCTTGTGCGTCCTCCATACATTCGAACAGACAGACGATATCATCGGCGTACTCCAAATTGCATAGCTTTTCTCCAGCTGTCCATTCACTACCTACGTTTTGGAGTCCCCTTAGTGCGCTCTTCAGTATTCTTGAACACGAACGGCGAAAGAGGGCACGCTTGACGAACGCCGCTGCTGGTGACGAACAGTCTAGTTAGTTCGTTGTAGACCCTTACAGGACCGGAGGTATGTGAGTACGTGACGTCAGTAGGTTAACGTACTTCTGGGGCGTTCCTTTTCGAAGAAGGCAGCCCATGAGAGCTTCGCGGTCAACTGAGTCGAAGGCTCCTTCCAGGTTAAGGAACACTGCAATCGTTGGCCGACGGTGAGTATGACGCAGCTCAAGGATTGATTCCTAAGGATTCCATTGTACGAGCCAGATAAGCTTGTTGACCTAGCTGCATCAAAGTCCTCACGTTGAAGGCCCCCAAATTCAGTGATTAATGAGGCTTTAGACACTGCAATCCATTCCGTGGTAAATCACTTACAGTGCTATTTGGCAATGACCTTTGGCGATCGACATCCAAGTTGCTTGAGGGACTATTACAGGTCGGTAGAAGGGGTAAAGGGAGAGGGTTGGGAACGGAAGACAAAGTTACACAAAGGTTGGGATATCTGAGCGGAAGCCCACTTATCACTTCCCACCCCGCATGATGCAATGGGCAGCGCGGTCCTGATTATCCTGCGCGACGACCGATGCAGTATGGAATTATTTTTATTTTGTGTATGCATTGGAGTTTGGTGGACGGGTACTGCTAGGGTGTCCAGCCACTAAACAGGAGAACGATTAGGGTTCTCGTCCAAAGCCTTTAGTTCTAACAAGAACCTAACCGCAAGGCAGTGGGTGAGGCGAAGTGGAGACCCATTTACTGTGATCGATTATTTCTCCACCGTTTTTATCGACTGAAACGCCAAATTCCAGGCAAACCCGCAACGTGGAGGACCAGGAGACTGAACTTCGTCTGATCTCTACCCATTGACCATCTAGGCATGATGAGGTCTGCTTTCTTTATAAAGCCATCCTGTGTAGCTTGTTGGGTCACAGAGGTGCACAAGCCATCACACCACGTCAAGGTGTAGTCTCGTAGTGATGGTTAATGGTTGTACAAACTTAAAAAATATATGGTCGCACACGATTTTACCATCATATGAGGGTATCTTAATTATCGGGGATACCGGATGTCGGTAGTCAGTTGTGAGGGTGTTTCACCAGATATGTTAGTAATGTCAGTTTCGGGTATGTTTACCAAAGGTTCCTTATTGTTGTTTACTTCGAAGTTTGGAGTTGTCGAATTTTCATCTGGAGCGTGGACCCTACGCCCTTTGGTGCTAACTGTCGAATGGGCACAGTATCCTTTCTGCCGTTCCGGAATCGAACGTGTGCCTAAAATGGGTTATATTGCAGAAGTTCAACTTCTACAAGAGGATCGTATTTGAAATCCCTGACATTCTTTTTCAAACGGACATTACCGGGAGTCAGCAACCTATTAGGCAGCGATGTACCGGAAGTTGAACGTCTATTATGGTGAAGGAATCGCTCATGTGGTGCTTCATTTGTCGCCACACACAGCAACGAACGAATCGAGTGGAGTGCGTCCAATGATACTTGTTCCCAGTTCTCGACTAGGAATTTCTTGGATTTTAGGGTGAGCAAAATGGTTTCCCCCAAAGTCCCGTTTAGTCGTTCGACTTGGCGGTTCCCATTAAGGTTGTACAGACTCGTTCTGCTCATAGCAACACCTTGAGAAAGGTGAGAGTGTCATACTTCCTCCGACATGAAGGAAGTGCCTCTGTCTGAATGTATGTAAGCAGGCATTCCGAACAAGCAGAACAGTTGACACAAACAACTGATAAAAGTGCGACTGTTTAGATCCGCACAGGCAAACCCGAAACTAAACGTCGAATATTCGTCAATAACCGTTAAACGGTACTGATTCCGGGTGGAACAAGGCAGTGGACCCTTGAAATCGATTAAGAGTGTTCCGAACGGTTGTGTAGCTTTAATTACATGACCTCCGAAGGTGTGCTAGATCGAGGTTTTAGCTTAAAACAGATCCCGCAATTGGTTGTTACATTCCGTACTTCTTCGATCAAGAATGGCATATTGCGAGATCTTACGAAATGCATCATACGAAAGACCCCTGGGTGGTACAAGGAATCATGAAGTTCTCTGAGGTTCTGTCGGGTGACGAGAGCTCCACAGCAAGATCTGAGTGCGTTGACGGCCGTATTTCACTTTCCAGGTCTATACACAATATCGAAGCTCTAAGGGAACTGTTCCATTTTCCATCGTAGGATTTTATCACTCTTGACTCCCCCACGGTGTTGGTTTACGAAAATGAAGGAGACAGACTGCTGATTAGTGATGAGTTTGAAATGATTGCCGAGTAGCATGTGAATCCGTTTCCGGACGGCTTGGACTACGGCGTACTCTTTCTCAACCGCTGAATGATGTCTATCCCCTATAGATAATGTCCTAGAAAAGAACGCGACAGGGCGCCCTTCCTGATTGCCACGCCCGGGGCATCACTTTCGATGACTAAGGGGATATTGAAGCAAATGGTCGCCAGACTCGCCGTTACCAGTTCGTGCTTAAGACTTTCGGAGCTTTGTTTTACATGAGGAGTTATCGGAAAAGTTCAAAGTCCATGGCTAGTAGTAAGAGAAAGAATCTACGATCCTTTATTGGTATTTTAAATTCGTGGTGCAGACATTTCTTACGAAGGCCTCAACCGATCAGGATCCGGTTTGTTGTTGCCTGTCGCTATCTGAAAACCAAACAACTTGATTTCCTTCACACCTATGATGCTTTTGCCGTCGATAAAAGTCAAACCAAATTTTTTGGCAACGTTCAAGAAATCCCTGAGGTTACGGCCATGCTCAGTTGCGTTTCTCCGACACAGTAGTGTTATCCACGTAGACAAACGTGTCTCTCAGATTTTCAAGAGAGATTATCTCATCGATAGCCCTCTGGAAACATGAAACACAGTTAGTAACTCCGAAGGGAATACGACAAAACAGATATAAACGTTAACATGTCTCAAAAGCAATAAACATTTTTTCTTTTTCCCGATTAGGGATTTAATAGTATGCATTTTGAAGGTCTAGAGTGCTAAAAATGCTGTATTTGGCTGATGATCTTATTGCGGTTCTCATTAATGACCACCACGCGCCGCGGCGGGTTGGAGGCTTCAATGATACCATCAGAGCACTTGATCTGTGTTGGAAATAGCTGGATGCCCAAGCGCCGCTACTCACGACCCATCGGTTTACATTTCACCTGTTTAACCTAGTTTTCAGGCCAATACAATTATCCTTTCATAGTGTTATCAACTCTTAATTGTTTATTTTGTCTTCATGTTATTTGTACTTTACCATGACTATTTTTCTATCTCTCTATTTCAATCCAAGCGGTCCTTATTGTTGCGTCACCGTGTAGTTCATGCCGAGGCCAAGTATGTGTGTGAATTCTGTCAGAGGGCGTTCGTGCGAGATGACAAATTAAAAAGACACATTCGATGTGTGCACAGCCATGAGCGACCTTTTGTATGTGAAGTTTGTGCCAAGGCGTTTGCTCGCAAGTGAGTTTGATGCGGTTCATCCATCTTTTATGTTCTGCTCAGTTGGCGGAAAATTGTTCCGTTTATCCTTTTACCCCCCGAAATCTCGGTCATCGAATACATATTACCTACTTTTAGTTATCTAATTTAGATTGACTTCCATTGTTGATCAGGTCTTTCTTTCTTAGAAGAGACATCTGTATACGTTACCTATTGCTAGTTGGTCCCTCGTAGAATGTCTTTAAAGAATATACTGGACACAACATTCGTTTACAGATTCCAACCGGTAGTAGTTGGACGAGAAATATCCTCGCTATTTTGCAGACGATAATACCCATTCAATCTACGTCCTGGTGATATTCATTAGATTTCTCTTGTAAACGGTTGTACCGTTCTTGGCGGCAGATACTTATCCCAGCCAGTGATGAAATGTATCTTTGCGGAGTTCACAGTTTCGGAAAATCAGACTCCGACCCGCACGCTCGAAGCGTATGCTTCTTGTCAACTGAAGTGTGACTTAAAAGTGGTGGTTCACATCGTTATACGAATATGCAAAGGGCAGGGTGCTAAACTAAACAAGCAAGAATTTTTAAATTGAGGTGCTACTCACATCAGTGAGTAGTATGCATGAGGCGCAGAAGTGGAAGCAATTGATGGTTTCTCATAATATTTAAAAAATAACCATAGAATATTTGGAAATACCATTGAATTGTTCGACCACTGATCCCCAGCGTTTGTTGAAAATATGAATACTACGTTTCAGATGAAACGCTCCGTTCTGTGTGGATGGGGACCTTCAGATCATCGTGACTTGTGATTAGAGAGACTGAGTGCTTTGAGTCAGTGTCGTACAAATTGGTGTTCATGCATTTCCTTAATTTCTTTGTAAAATTAGCTCACCTGAACTCCCCATTTTCTTTTTGGCACTTCCCTTTATATTTTAACGTTACGTCTTCTGTCTTATCCAAATGGGTAACCGAAACCGCTGCATGAAGGTTAGTGATTGTAAAAACCAAACTGAAACTTATCTGTTCGTTGTATGTTTACATTCTGTTGATTGATCGATTTCTGGTCATGATCCCTCTGTTTCTCTCCTGATTTGCTCCTTTTTAATGGTAGATTTTAGGTTTGTATGTTGCATTTTGTTGTGTGCGAGGAGCTACACGATTGATAACAGGAGAGGATTACTTACACAATCTTGAGTATGTCAGCTACCTGTTTTCTATACCTGAACAACTTGTGAAATTGGTTTACCTACTTTATGTGGCAAAGCTCATATAATTGTCCTAATTGTGATATAGCCCGTGCTCGAAGGTGGATACAAGGTGCACATTACGATAAAGCGACATAATTGCCCTTCGGATTATACCACTGACTGAGATCAGTATTGCATAACTACTCACGACTGTAAACCATGGGTGCAAAAACAAACTTCGTGCCTGTTTTCAATCCGTTCACTATTATTATCACACGGACTTCGGGTTGTGGCTTGAATATATGTTGTGCTCGTCAGTCTCGATAAACTTGATAACGTGCGACCGGTTAGCCACCTAGTGTTTCTTAGAGCATAGAGTCAGATACAGGTTGATATGACACTCCACTGGTGGTTTCGTCGAAGTTCTTTCATACATTCAACCGACATTTTCACCAATCCAAAAATAATGGATTGGTGCAATTAGTGACAATTCTTATGCGAAATGCGGGTTGGTGGCGCATGATATACGTGCCTGAGAAACGCTCAGATTCATCATACATCTGTCCGTCGCCAATATGACTACCAGGGTAGCAGTCAGTTGGATCTGTACGTGAACTGCTATCCTTAGATTTAATCTTACGGAGAAATAGTTTTCTCAAAATTTTCATATTTGTAAAACAGTGTGCTAGTATGAGACTAAATGACAGATAAGCTCTTTGTCGGTGCTTCATTGGAACACGTTTATATGTACGTCATTCGGAAAGAAAAACGACGAGTGCATGCGATTCCTACTGTCTGAGGTGGATATTGTGCTGGACCGTTGCTTCGTCCTTCCGGTTAGCAGTTGTAAGCACTACGCTTCCGTATGCATCACAGATGCACAATCAAACCTTATAATATACCTCATCTATCGTCAAATTATTGAAAATCGGTTCTCGTCGCTCGGATGAACTGAATTCCATTTCGCCCGTTCGCCGGGCTTGAC